TTCAATGCGCAAAATAAAAAATATTATAAATTAAACCAATTACGATGAAATGCAGTTAGCAAAGTATTTTAAATGTGGCAGGAATAGCACACATATAACAACACAGTGTTTCTTTGTTGATATTCGATCACAAGACACAGTAAATTCTTTGCCACAGAGCCCATCCTGACCCTTCACTGATGCTCCCTCGGGCTCCTGTGGATGTAAGTCCAGTGGGAGGAGATTGCCCAGCTTCCTGCTCGTGGCAGATCCCAACACTGTGCTGCCTCTTATAAATAAGCAGGGCAGCTCGCTGCAGACTACACCAGGGCAACCTGTGAGAAGTAGTAGCTACTTTAATCTAATTTCTGTAATTTTTACATAGTGCTTCGTGTAAATGGTGCCCTGTACTATGACAGGAAACGCCCTGTGATTTGTATCGATAATTCAATCACAAATACAGAAAAAACTAATCTGATTTGTTGATTCCATGAACTAATAGACTAAAATAATACATTTCAGCTAGAGACTAGTGAGATAAGAGTATAACTTACCCAAAGTTCACAGATCGCCTGGAATCTTTCAAAACCCGAGCCCCAGGTGAAGGGCCTAGAGCCTGGTCCTCAGTGGACCCTCATAGTTTGTCGATCAGCGATCGTGGCTCATCATCTGGGGGGGGGGGTGTTTTTATTTTCCATTGGTTTGCATACAAAGTTTGTATACAGATATTTCACACTATCCTTCATTCACATTGTGTTTCATACAATCATTCCCATACATTGTGTTTTATAAAATTAACCGTCATTGAACTATGCCTACCATTACCCCGTCTTTCCAGATCACCACCGGATCTTTCCAATTTCCTTTACCCGCCTCCCTCCACCCACCAAATTGTGCAATCCTGTGATATCGCCCCTGCCCACACTCAAGTACCCCTCTATTCTCACCCTTTCCCCCTTTGGATCTCTGCATATGTTTTACTAGTTATCCTTCTGTTCTTACAATAATGGTCCTATGCAGTATTTATCCTTATGGAACTGAGTTAGTTCACTTAGCATAATGCTCTCCAGTCCCTCCCGAGTTAGGTAATGATTTGCAAAATCATTGTTCCTGTGTCCTGCGTAGTATTCCATCATGTGAATATACCATAATTTCTCAATCCACTGATTGTGGTTAGACGTTTGAGCTGTCTCCGTCTTCTTGTGTTGGTGAATAATGCTGCTATGAACATTGGTGTTCAAGTGTCCATATGTCCTCAGTTCTTGTTTTCTCGGGGTATATCCCCAGCAGTGGAATAGCTGGATCTTATGGAATTTCTATGTTCAGCTTTTTGAGGAAACATCAAACTGCCTTCCAGAGTGATTGTACCATTTTACAATCTCACCAACAACGTCTAAGAGTTCATATCTCTCCACATCCCCTTCAACATTTATTACTTGCTGTCCTGTTAAACTTTGCCACTGCTGCTGGAGTTAAATGGTATCTCATTGTGGTTTTGATTTACATCTCTCTTATTGCTAGTAATTTTGAGCATTTCTTCATTTGTTAGCCATCCGAATGTTTTCCTCTGAGAAAAATCTTTCCATGTCTCTTGCCCGTTTTGTAATTGTGTTATCAGTCTTTTTCTTGTGGAGGCCCTATAGGATTCCGTAAACTTGTCTGAAATGGTATTGCCAAATACTTTTCCCATTCAGTAGGTTTTATTTTCACACTGGTGGGAAACGTGTTTTATGTGCATAGGGATTTAGTTGTTAGAAGGTCCCATTTGTCACTTGTATCCCCTCCTGGTTGTGCATTTCTGGCTGTATTTTTCAGCCTCTCTATACCACAGGCAAGAACTTCTATGGTCCCAATTTGTCTGTTATTCATTGAGGGTTTGGGGTTTTTTTAATTGTGATTTGCGTAAAGGTTTACAAAGCATATTGTCTTTTCAGTCAGTCATTCATGTACATTTTATTCCTTAACATTAATGACAACACCCCCAGGGTCAGATCTTCCATTCATTCCAGACTGCCTTTCTTTTCAAACATCTATTAATAAATATTTATTTCCTATTAAATAGATTTTGCCTCTCTCTCCTTCCTCTCTCAGGTAACCATACTAGTATGATTCTTTCTGTGTATAAATCTTTAACTTTTTATAATCATGACCTTACACAATAATGATCCTTTTGAGAATGACTCATTTCACTCAGCATAATGTCCTCTAAATTCATCCAGCTATGTAATGTTTCATGACTTGAATGTTTTTCAACATTGTATGATCCTCCATTGTATGTGAACCATAATGTCTCTATCCATTCATTCACTGATGGCACTGGGGTTGTTTCAAACTCTTTCTTACTGTGAATAATGCAACAAAGATTGAGTTTTATATTTTCAGTAATTAAAATGTTTACTGGAAAAATAAAATAGGATGACACAGAAAAATTACATCGCACTCTCATTTTCATGTCGTTAAATACATTTTCTTGGAACAGAGGCACTCTCATTGGCGCACAGTCTATGGTTGTTTGCACACTACTCTAGGAGTGTGGAGTCATTATGCTGGAAGCTACCATGTTGCTGTATAAAGTCGAAAGTAATTACTGTCTTGCTCTTTATAAAAAACATTTGCGTGACCCTGCTCTGGAACACTGGAGCTCTAAAATTTCTCAAGTGGTGTTGTGACAGTCAGATTCCCTAAGATAGGGATGACCCATTGTTTAATCAACAGATCAGATCAGAGTGAGGTGTCAGATCAGAGTGAGGAGACTGGAAAACAGGCAGGGGACCGAGAATTGGGGTCCTTTCAATGGCCCACATACTTGTAAAGCACAGCAGTCTTCTTCCTGGGGTGGCATCTGCCCTGGCCTTCCAAGGAGAACTGTGGTAATGGTGATTCGTGATTCCGATATATTGTGACTCCTTCCTTCCAAATCCAAACTGCCAAGGCTCCTTCTTTCTGCCTCTTCTCTCTGGAGCCCCCCTCAGTTTATTGCTGTCGCGTTGGAACCGTCTCAGCGTTGACCCTCCAGCGGGTTTTCAGAGGCTGTGAGTCCCACGGGAGGTCTCCCTCTCCGTCCTGTAGAACAGCCAGAGAATGTGAGCTGCCTGCTTTGCAGCTGAGCACAGCCCCTTATCCGCTAAGCCAGCATTTCACGGCCACTGCAGCCTTCCAAAACCCTCCTCTAAACCCTCACAGTGCCTGCTGCGAACGCGTAAGAAGGAAAGTAGAGCTCTAGATAAACATTTATTACTGAGAATAATTTGCCACATGGACGGTCAGCTAGAACTAGAGGGGGAAGTTTGGTTAATCGTCGTGGAGTAGAATCAGTCTTTCTGTAAAACCACAAAGGACATGTTCAGAGCCATCTTCATCTTGGCGTGAGTTGTAGGTGTCTCCAGTTATAGTTTTAACTGAGTCATTTTTCTTTCAGAAACACTTTATTTTCAGGCTTAAAGAGAAAAGAGGGAGCTCTCTAGTGCTGCCAGCCTGTTTGCAGCCTTTTAAGTAGATAATTTTCCAAACCAGATGTTTTCAAATTGTACTTAGTCTATCCAGCTTTTCTTCTTTGCAGCATGGTAATTTGAAACAATTTCATTTCCCAGTGTTCCCTGACTCCCTGTAAATTGTGAATGTGTTGCAGAGTACGGTAAATGTTCTTCTGAGTTCTGAGGCCCTGGGCTGAGGTTCACTTGCACCCACAGTGAGCCCTGCCCCTCCCCTCTCACCTCTGGCATCATCAGGAGCCTGCCCAGGGAGGGACAGCCGTCTCCCTCCCCAGATCCAAAAACACACCACCCTTCTCTATGTGAAGAATTGGGCCTTTTCCTCCAATGCTTTGCTCACTTGAGTCATCTACCAGGCTCTCTAGGAGGTGGTCAGGCAAGTTGCAGGCTGGGAGCCAGAAAGCAGAGGGTGGGAGCAAGGCATGGGACCACCAAACATGGGCTTTTAGACTCATGCTGTCTAAAAGAAATATCATACAAGTCACACGTTCAATTTTATATTTTCGAGTGTAATTTCATCCCACTTATTTTGGGCATGTTTTCAGGAGGAATCAGTCCTTGGACCGAGAGCATGCTGGGAAAGGGAGAGAGAGGGTCACTGAAAGAGGGGAGGGCCCTGGACGGTAGGGACTGGGACAGCGGCTACCACAGGGGGCTGAGCATGGCGGAGAGGGTGAGAATGGGGCAGGACAGGCAGGACAGCTCTGTTGTTCATAGAGTCTCTGAGTCAGAGTCGACTAGACAGTACCTGACACCTACAGCATCTCAATTTAGATGCTAAATTAATTATCACAGGAAATGCTTGATCCTTCTTTAGATTTTAGAAATTCATAGTTGAATAGACGAGTGTACTTAAGCTTTTCCAGACATACTTAAAAGCTTGCCCATGTGAATTTGTACCCATTTTTAAAGTTAAATGTACGCTCATTGATGTTCAGTTGCATTGTGCTGGCCACATTTCAAGTCCTCAGCCATGGTATTAACTAGTGGCTGCTGTAGTGGCCAGTGCAGCTTAGACTGAACAACTCAGCGCTGAATAAGATCGTGCAGCCGACCCAGACCCACCTCTCATTTTAGAAATAAAGACTGTGAGCTACAGCCGTGAGAAGGTTTCCCAGGGCTCTCCAGAGTGAGGCTGCGGACCGTGGCTCTTGAGACCCCATTTGCTGCTCCTCGAAGCTCACTATGCTTCGTCACTATTGTTGTTGTTGTTGAATGCTGTCCAGTCTCGGAATTCATACCTGACTCCCCAGCTGGATGTCAGAGGCCGTAGACTGTCCATCTTTCTCCCGTGGTTCTGAGCTGCATGCCTTCGGGTTGGCAGTGTGGCTCCTTCCCGCTCGACCAGCAGAGCTCAGGTGTTTATTACAGGTTAGGTACGACTGGTCGATCAGCCTGAGATGCCGCCACTGTGACTGTAAGCTTTAGGGTTGCCAGCACAGGTGGCGTCCTGCTGCCTGTGGTCACCTGTGGGGAAGTCACCCAGGTCCCTCACTGCTGTTCTCTTTGTCTCCTGGCGTCTCCCTGCAGCAATACTTCATCCTGCTGATCCTGACAGACGGTGTCATCACAGACATGGCGGACACCCGGGAGGCCATTGTCCACGCCTCCCACCTCCCCATGTCTGTCATTATCGTGGGGGTCGGGAACGCCGACTTCAGTGACATGCAGATGCTGGATGGTGATGACGGGATCCTGAGGTCACCCAAGGGAGAGCCCGTCCTCCGAGATATCGTCCAGTTCGTGCCCTTCAGGAACTTCAAACACGTACGCACGGTTTGGGGGCTTCTTGTGGGAGGAAAGGACCAGAGCATGCCGTCTCCCCCAGTTTTCTCCCCATGTTTGTAGTAATCGGCCACCTTGATGCAATACCAGCTGCCTGGTGGACTATCGTCCACAGCAAGGATGTGTAGAGCTGACTCTTTGGAGAAAGAAATTATAGCCAAGGAGTCAGGTTAACTCTGAGTGAGGGTCAGTGTCCTGGAGCTTGGCCCCCTCCAGGAAACCGGGTGGTAGATCGGCTAAAGCATTCAGCAGATAACCAAGAAGTCACTGGTTCTATCCCACCAGCTGCTCCTCCAGAGAAAGGCATGATCATCTAATCTCTATAAAGACTGCTGTCCTGGGAACCCTGCGGACAGGTCTATTCTGTCTGTAGGATTGCAATGGGTCAGAATTGACTCATTGACAGTGCGCTTGATTGTGGACTTGAGCTTGGTAGAGATTGTGAGGATGGCACAGGATACGCGAGGTCTGTTGTTGATAGGGTTGTTATGAATAGCGGTTCAACTCTGTAGAACCCCCAACAACAACGACAGCATGTAACTCAGGATCTCTCCTGTCCCAAGGGCTGCCGTGCAGAGTTGGCTGGTTCATTCGTGCCTCGGCTGCCTCCGGGATGGGAAAAGCAAGGAAAAGGGCCAGAGTTCCCTGTTCTAGAGATTAGAAGTCCAAGTTCAGGGCGTGGGCTCTAGGGAAATGCCCTTCTTTATCTCTGTAAGCCTCTCGTAGCTGCAGGGCATCCTCTGGCCTTTGGCTTGTGAACACATCCTTATAGCACCCTTCTTCCTCCTGTGTTTGTCTCTATGTTTGTTCTGCCTCCCTTTCTAAGACAACAAGGAGCAAAACGGCCTAGGGCCCAGTCTACTCTCATGACATATTATTAATATAACAATAGAAACACCCTTTTTCCAAGTAGGACCACGTTCGCAGGCACAAGAGTAACAAGTTGGGGGACACAGTTCAGCATGTAGCAGTGCTGCTTGTGGATGGTGCCTAAGAGTCAATCATGTCCACAGTCCTCCTGACCCACAGAGGTTCCCTCCGCATCTCCTCAGTCCTCCTGACCCACGGAAGTTCCCTCAGCAGCTCCTCAGTCCTCCTCACCCACAGAGGTTCCCCTCCATCTCCTCAGTTCTCTTCACCCATGGAGGTTCCCTGCGCATCTCCACAGTCCTCCTGACCCATGGAGATTCCCTCCGCATCTCCTCAGTCCTCCTCACCCACGGAGGTTCCCTCAGCATCTCCTCAGTCCTCCTGACCCACGGAGGTTCCCTTAGCATCTCCTCAGTCCTCCTGACCCACGGAAGTTCCCTCAGCATCTTCTCAGTCCTCCTGACCCACGGAGGTTCCCTCCGCTTCTCCTCAGTCCTTCTCACCCACAGAGGTTCCCTCCACATCTCCTCAGTCCTCCTGACCCACGGAAGTTCCCTCAGCATCTCCTCAGTACTCCTCACCCACGCAGATTCCCTTAGCATCTCCTCAGTCCTTGTTACCCCCTGAGGCCATTTGCTCAGCACCACCATTAGTGCCAACAGTACCATTCCCATGGACAGCTAACTAGATGTGGGTTTCCCCAGCAGGCGGGAACCTCTGGAGTCCCTTGTACCCTGAAAAAGCTGGAGTCACCTTGGAAGGAAAAGAACCCTCTGCTTTCCATGGTGTGAGCCCCACAGGGCTGGAAACTGAATCTGTGTCTCCACATCACAAAGATTCCCGCTGGAAACCTCTGTTTTGTCTTTTGCTTTCACTGCAGCCCCTCCCTCCACAGGGAGAGGTTGGATCAGACCTTCCAACCAAACCTTTTCCTTCTAACATTCTTTTGAAGAGCCTCTCTCCTCCAGCCAAATCCTCTCACTGAAAGACACTCTTGACACTCTTCACAACCTGCTTGTCAGATGTGGGCACCTCTGAACCCCAGTTTGGGCTGAAGCTGGGACTCCAGTAACGCAGGGAAGGGTACATGAAGTGGAAGGATGCGTGGTTGACAAGCAGCCATCCTAGTGTCGGAGGCTTCCACAGACGCTGCAAATTGCTGTTTGTTCGAGACAGGCTTTCAGGTGCACACAGCTCAGTCTCCGCCTGCAGCCTCAGCTGAAGCCTAGATTTCGTGTCCTGCAGGACCACACAGGAAAGTCACCACATCCTCCAGGGCTTCTTGAACAAAGCAGTGCTGTTCCTAAAGCCACTTGCACACAATTGCAATTCTCCTTTTAAGGAGGACTGCAGTGTAATTAGGATGATTAAAGAAGCAGAAAATTGATCCCGAGCTCCAGAGTTCAGGGCGGAGGGAGCATCTAAGGAAGGAATCAGCGGCAGCTCCGGCCTCAGGGGCCACGGGGGACCGTGAGGGTGGGCGCCACCGCTATCTTCAGGCCCGTGGTCCAAATGAAAACATTCATTAAACGAAGTACCCTGCCACCTTCTCAAGGTGTTAGATTACAGACAGTAAAAAGTGGCGTCCAAGGAGAGATTCAATAAAAGGACAGGCCAAGTCACCATGTTTCTCAGAGTTGATACTGAGACAGAAGGAAGGTGCTAGAGAAGGTAAAACTGGAGCCAGCATGTTCAGGACACGTAATTGTGTTCCTGCAAAACCTAAGACCAAGAAGCAGCTGTCTGGTAAGAACAAGGAAACCCTACCTGGCTTTAAATCAGGAGAGCTGTGCCTCAGCATTGCATCCTTTCCCCATAGCCAGCCATTCAGTGTGTGCTGAGCAAATCATTCAAGAAGTTTGACTCTGTGGAAATGAACGTGGCGTTAGGATTGGAGGGAGACTCAACAACAGCCTGTATTATGCCAAATGCAACCTTGCTTGTAGAAAATGAAGGAGGCTTAAAACCTTACTGAAGAACATCAAAGACTAGAGTCTTCATTCAATATGGATTGTTGTGGTTGTTGTTGTGTGCCATCAAGTCGCCTGCAGCTCACAGTGGCCCTATATACAATACTTCCGACTCCTGCCCTATCCTGTCAGTCTCATTAACTCAGACACACCAGTTACTGTGTCAATCCATCTCATCTGGGGTCTTCCTCTCTGCTGTCCTTCCTCTCTTCCAAGCATGATGTCTTTCTCCAAGTTGGTTCCTCCTGGCCACATGCCCAAAGTACACGATATGGCGCTTCAAAATCCTAGTCTCCAAGGAGAAACTTGGTTTCACCCCTTGTAAGACAGAGCTATTTGTTCTCTAGGTTGTTCATGATATGTTCAAGACTTTTCTCCAGCACTACCAAAGGCATTGATTCTTCTTCAGTCATCCTTAGTCATCATCCAGCTCTCTAATGCATAACAAGAAATTGCAAAGACCATGGCCTGGATCAGGTGCGCCTTAATCTCTAGACTGACCCCAATGCAACTCGTCTTTTGATTTCCTGACTGCTGGTGCCAAGAGTGTTGATTGTGGAGCCGAGCAAGCTGAAATTGCTAACAACCTCAATTTCTTCTCCATCTATCATGATACTGCTTCCAGTTGGCTCAGTGGTAAGGATGTCTCAACATTAAGAAAACAAAAATCCTTGTCACTGGACCCGTAGACAATATTATGATGCTGTTATATACCATTGAGTCAGAACTGACACATAGCTGACCCTCCGGTAGATTTCAGAGGCAGTAAACTGCATAGCAGGAGATGGCCCACCTTTCTCCCACGGAGAAGCTGGTAAATTCAAACTAAACTATATGCCCTTGGGTTGGTGGCACAACTCCTTACCACTACGCCACCAGAGCTCCCTAACATTTTGGTAGACAGAGGGGGAAAAACTGAAGTTGTCAAGCGTTTGATTTTCCTTGGCTCCACAGTGGATACCCATGGGAGTAGCAGTCAGGAAATCAAAACATGTGTTGCATTGGAAACACCTGCTGTCAAAGACCTCTCCAAAGTGCTGCAGAGCAAGAATGTAAATTCCTGAAGAATGTCAAGCTAAAGTGTGCCTGAATCAGGCCATAGCATTTTCAATTGTTTCCTATGCATCTGAAAGTTGGAAAATGAATAAAGATGATCAAAGAAACTGTATATCCTTGAATTGTAGAGTTAGCACGGAGTACTGAGTATTCTGTGGACTCCGAAAGAACAAGCAAACCTGAGGACGTGCAGCCAGGGTGCTCCCTAGAGGCCAGGATGGGGACATGCATCAGCGTGTGGTCACAAGGGAATGTCCCTCTGACAAAGGATTTCTTCTTTCTAAGTCCTGAAGGACTTACTGGGGAAAGACATCACACTGGGAAAGACGCAGAGTCAACAAAGAAGAGGAAGACTCTCACCCAAGTGGGTAGACAGTGACAATAACAATGGGCTGACGCATGTTCGAGATGATGAGGGCGGCACAGAATAGAGCAAGGTTCAAATCTGCTTTTCCAAAGGTCACTATGAGTTGTAGTTAACTGATGGCACAACACAACAAACGGCAACCATGTTCCCAAAGAAAGCCAGACACTTGCATGACACCTGTACAAAGAACACAGGTGACATGGAAATGGCCAAGCCTGACCTCTGTTAACTTCACAAAGGAGAACAGTCTTGATCAGCAATATCCGTAGTACAAAACCAGTTCTCTTAAGATCAGACATGGTCTCCATGCTCCCACCCTGCTTCTACTCATTCCAACACCAGTCATACTGCAGGGTCCAGACTCCACTGCAATGGCCACACAGACCTCACAGAACCATACTTACAGCTATGGGGTTTATGAGAGACGTTAACAGGTTACCCTCCAGGATGGTAACAAGATAAAACTCTTCAGTAAGGAAAGCTGCTCAAGCAGCCCGACAGACGCTTTGATCTTTCATCTCACAGCTTTGGGGAGTGGTACAAAGTTCCTTTAGTCCTGTCTGTCACAGCATCTTCCCTCAGTCCTGCTCCCGTGAAGCTCAGGTTAAGGCCTTTGGCTCTGGCTCTGTGGGGAAGTAGTGCCAAGTCAGTGCTGTCTCTTATCTGTTCCTGGTTCTCTGCTGACGCTGCTCCTGTGTAGGTTCTGATCTGATCTGATC